GGCTTTACGGTCACGTGACTTGCGACGAACGATCAACGGCGGGTTCAGCTTCTTTTTAGGACGGGTTCTATTAGCGACGGTCACTGGAGTCTTATAAGGCAATACTTGCACTTTTCTTAGGGTCGGGTAAGTAGTTTGTGCTTTGCAGTCGTAGTTACTTTACTATTCGTTTATTAATTCTATATAAATTCTATCTAAATCCGTCCTTACACTACTAATTTAGTCGCAACAGTGTGGGGTGTTCACAGCTGTTCAATCTAATTTATTCAAACAGTATGAGATGTACATAGCTGTTAATGCGCGAATGGTGCAGGGAATGTACAGTCATTCCTGTTTTGTGGGGTGTACAACTGCTTATTTCTCTTTAATTACCCAGTTTCAATGTGATTTTACAACGTTAAATAGTATTGATATGCTGTAAATGCAAGACTTTACTTGTTAATTTCCTATTTCTTTTTATTTAAGGGAGAGGTGGGAGGAAAGAACCTTTCGATTAGCCAGAAAATAAGGTTTCGGGCAACTTTGAAAAGCAGTGAAAGGAAAGCACAAATTTTGTTCTTGAATTTGTGGCTTATTTATACTTATCATTAGACTCGCTAATTAATGACCTAATAATTCATTTAACTTCTAGATCAATGACCTAATAATTCATGCAATTTCCATTTGACTCGCTAGACAATGGCCTAATAATTTACTGTATGCAATTTCCATTTGACTCACTAAATCAATGACCTCATGACGATCATAAGGTCAGGTGATCCTCTCTCCTGTGCCTACGTCACAATCGGTCCTATTACGGCATAGCCGTAATTATGTGGCGGAGCCAAAATTCAGAAAATCGACTGAAATTCTGGGTCGATATACATCGGAACATTTCGGTATTAATTAATACGACCTGCTTCCGATGAATTCTGGATCGATAATTACGCAAAAAATACGGCACATGCCGTAATTCGATAATTTTCAAAATTAATTCTACCACCAACTATAACCACAACACTACCTAATACCAACTAAAAGCACTGAACCTAATAGTGGTAAGTCTACGACTGAGGCGTAGAAAGACTTGGACCGAGTAACTAGAGTTCTAGATTACATCACGGGTATCTTAATATAGAATCACGGGATTTGGTCACTAATTCCTATCGTTATTACAGATTTTACTTATCGGAGGAATTAATAAAGCCAAACAATATTGAACTCTAACTGAACCAACTGCAGAACTGTCCTTATTGAATGCGAAGGAATATATTTGCTAAATTCACACTAAAATGTTTAAAAATGATTAAATCAAATAAATTGAATAAATTGAATAAACAAGACAAAACAATAAATGCAATAAATCGAATAAATGCAATAAATTCAATAAGCCATAAGTGCCATAAGCTCGATAAGTTGAAATTAAGGCATTATACTAACTAATTTTGGTTAGATTCGGCCTGAGCCTCCTCAACGTATTACAAATATATCCTTCATACGTACGTACGTACGTACTACAAAGACGTATGTGCATACATCTTTCTTTTTTTGCTAAATTTAGAAAAAATAAACAATGTTTGTGTAACTATAAATACTAACAGATAAGGATAAATGCGTAAACAAATATGATAAATAGAAATTTCAACTTAGAAATGTAACACAAAGCATGCGATACGGCCATCATATTTACTGAATGGTTAGATGAATAAACCTACTTACGTATGTACGTACGTACATATAATGAGCATTCGATATTTGTCTTCCAACAACTTACAATTTGATAACAATAAAATGATTTCTTATAATTTACCAGAATTATCATCAGAATCTTTGAATGATATAAAAAAAGAACCTCATGATACTCTTATAGAAATTTATGACAAAAAATCTAATAATGTTAAAGTTTTTAATGCACATTCAAACGTTCTTTGCAATAGATGTGAATATTTTAAGATTGCATTGTCTGAAAAATGGGCAAAAAAAGATGATAATAAGTATAAGCTAAGATTAGAAATTTCTTGTGATGCTTTTGAAATAATATTTAAGTAAGGACTTTATTTATATAATTATATAATATTATATTGATGTCAGTATTAATACGTAATTATGAATTATGGTTTTAAATTCATAGCGGTATTTGTAGTGGAACGATTATTTTAACAGATCTAAACATAACTACTTCAATGGAGTTATTATTGGCTTCCGATCTTCTTCTCTTTCATGAGTTTCTCGATTTTTTAAAAATCAAATTATTAGAAAGAAATAAAATGGATTGGGAAGATAATGAAATTATTTATATGTTAAAAGGTTCTTACCGAATTCCTGCCCTGCAAGATCTCTACTTAGTTTGCCAAGATATAATAGCAGAAAGGCCAATGATCTTATTTGAATCTCTGGAATTTTTATCGATTGATGAGGATTTATTACTTTCCATATTGAAGTTGGACATGATTTCCTTGTCTGAAATATCGATATTTGATAATTTGATTAAATGGGGCATCGCAAACACTCCAAATTATAATACTATAAATGATGAAACCTCTCGTGTAAATGCTTTAGAAACTACTCTTGAAGATGCATTACAACTAATTCGTTACAATAATATTAAAGATTCAATTATAGAATATAACCAAATCTTACCTGATAAAGATGTTTTATATAAAATTCCTCCTCGTGCTAATTATATAGTTGAACCAAAAGTTATTAGTAATAGATTTGCTGGATTGATCGTTTCATGGATTGATAGAAAAGATCCGATGGATTCTCAATACACTGCTTTTAATAGTCCATTCAGATTTAGACATGTTTTTCGAATGAATGATAATTCAAAATTCTCAACTCAACTTTATAGATTTCATCATTATTCGAACAAGTTACCAACAATTAAATGTCATGAGGGTCCTTCATTAATGATAATGAAACTTAAAAATTCTGGAAAATTCATTGGTGCTTACAATCCTATTCAATGGAAACAAGGTTCAGGTAGCTCTTGTGGTTCTACATCTGAAAGCTTTATTTTTACCTGTGATGATAAATATGGTTCAAATTATAGATTATGTAGAGTTAAGAACTTTGATCATGCTGTATGTTTAGTAAGTGACTTTGGTGGCCTATTAAATTTCGGTGAAGATTTAATGTTTAAATTTAATAAAGAAAATGTCAGTTGTCATATTAAGTGTAAATTTTATGAACAAACTACATTACAAGAAGGTACATATGAAATCGAAGAATGGAATGTTTATAAAGTCAGAAGAAAAGATGATCAACCAATGAGGGTAATGACCAGAATTACTAATTCTCCCGTTGAATCAAAGATTCTTGATAGTGACTTTTTTGGAATGATCTCAACATGGATTGATAACAAAGATCCTGAGAAAGATCTGTACCTTAAATCTAATATGCCATTCGAATTTACTCCTATATTTCGTATGAATGATCATACAGCTTTCTATCCTAAACAATTTTATAATCAATCAACAAATAGGTTATTACCAACAATGAAATGTCATCATGAACGTTCATTGATGATTATGAAATTAAAAACTGGAAAAATTGTTGGTGCTTATAATCCCCTCGATTGGACATATGGGTCATATCGTTATTATCCAACAGATATTGAATACAGATATACATCTGATAGTTTTATTTTTTCTTATGATCCAGATGTGAATGATGGTGTAAATTATAAATTAAGTCGTGTTTTAAATTTTGATAAAGCAATCGGCTCTGAAAAAATATGTACTAATAGAAAAGATCTCAATGGTTTAATGTTAAGATTTGGTAATGATTTAAGATTCATCCATAACGGAAGTGTACGTCGGAATGTTCAGGATCATGTCTTTTGCCATATAGCTCAGAATGGTCATTATGAACAACCGGCCATATTACCTCCTGGAAATTATGAAGTTGATCAGTGGGAAATTTTTAGGGTTTCTATAAAAGATCAAGAAGCTTCAGAAGAGGATTAATAGAAAAGATTCTGTGGAAGCTTAATACACACATTATATTGTTATATTTTGCTTTGTTAATTGATCAATAAACGTAATAAATAAAATATTATTGATTTTGGGATATATTTTCCTAATAATACCGATATAAATAATTATCACCTTTAGCGTTTCCTATATTTTTATTATTTCTTTCGATAGTCTATTATTTTTATTATTATTATTTTTTTTTTACAAATATTACAAAGTCGGAAAGATTTCCTGCAAATAATATTACCAGTTCTTACAATAAGTAGAATAGAATTCGTTTCTGCATTTGAACTATTTCTCTTATATTTGAATTATTCGTACTATGACAATATCTCAATCAATTAATAAAATAAAAATCTGTTTCTTTTAAATAAAGTGAATTTGCAGGAGTGCTAAAATACCTCCTGATATAAAATAATAATAAATAAAGATTAAGCCATTTTAGAAATTACTGTTAGATATTACTATAGAGAATTTTATTAACAACAAACAAAATTTCTTATACCAATTTTTAATTTAATTAAACGATGTTACATTAAGCAACTATTAGTTTGCATCTGAATTTGATATTTTCGGAAATAGATGAATAAAGGAAGGCTTAGGTTTATATTTGTGTTTTTCAATTTGTTTTTTTTTAAACTTAATTTTTGGTTATCTATATTTTCCAAAAAGAAAATTCTTTAAAAGAACTTTAATTAATGCTAACTGAAAACATAAAGAAAAATGCTTGGTTTGACAATAGAAAAAATAGTATGAGTTTAATCATAAAATAATTATCTTGTAATTAAGCTCATTAATAAAGATCTCGTTTTTCGTTTATAAAAAATTAAAACTCAAACATAACCTTTTGTTATCATGACCATGTCAACAGAAAAATTCATGCATTATTAAAGAAATCTCAATGTTACCAACCATGATTGATCCTTTCAATGATCTCTCGCGTGCTGATGTACTTGCTCGTGTACATATGATCTGGGTGTTTTTGAGAATAAATCGGTAACATTCCGACTATATTGTCAGCCTCTAAGAATTGCCTTTTAATTATATTTTCATTTGGATCCTCTAAACTTTTATTCCATTCATTAAACTTACTCGTTATATCAAAAGCCGTAGGTCGTTTTTGTGGGTCGGAGTTCATACAATGTTCAGCCAATTTAATATAGCAGTCAGGAATTTCAGGAACAAATTCAGGACGTAATCCTAAACAAATCCATGTTGCAAGATCATTATCAAATGAAAATCCATCAAAAGGTCTTTGACCGTTTGATATTTCCCACATGACGACTCCAAAAGCGTAAATATCTGCTGCTTGCATAAATGGTTTTCCCTGTAAAACTTCGGGGGCAATATAAGGTAAAACGCCATAAATACCTTCACCTTTACTTTTCATATATGATGAAAGACCTAAATCTGAAATATATGCATTGTCTATCTCTTCTTGTAAAATGTTACCACTATGTAAATCTTTATGAATGTATCCTTGGAAATGGATCATATCAAGATCTGAAATTATACATTGTAATAATTTTAATTTTCTCTTCCAATCCATTCGTGATACTCTATTAAGATTTCTACCTAAAGATCCAATACTAGCATACTCCAAAGCAAGGACATATTTTCCTTTATCATCTCTTGTTATTCCATAGCATTTCAAAAATGATGGATATACCTCCTTAATTTCACAATATATTTTTAACTCTTTTATGAATTCTAGATGATCATTTAATTCAAGTATTTTAAGCGCTATATAAGTTTGAGCTCTACAACTTTTATCAAACCAATCTGCACCATAAACAGTTGCAAAGCCGCCATTTCCAATTATTCCATCAACTTTGAATTCATAAGGAATCCATGGCATTTGATATTTATTTTCGATCAACATTTTCTTTAAATCGCTAGCAATACCAACAATTTTAGATGCACATTCATATACAACTCGCATTAAATTTTTCTCTCTATTTATATTTTTTATAATGTTAATTAAATAATTAATATAAAATATGAAATTAAACCAATATTTTTACCTTCGATACCAATAATTGGCTTTTTCTAAATCTCTTTCCGCACCAAACCCATTTCGATAACAATAACCAAGTTTATTCATCGCAACCATATTGCCCATTTCTGCAGATTTTTGATAATAAATGAATGTCTTATGTTCGTCCTTTGGGACTCTAATTCCATGTTGATAACAATATCCTATACAATATATCGCAGCAGCATTTCCCATCTCTGCAGATTTTTGATAATAAATGAATGCCTTATGCTCGTCCTTTGAGACTCCAATTCCATATTGATAACAATATCCTATTTGATTTATCGCATCAGTATTTCCCATCTCCGCTGATTTTTGATAACATTTAAAGGCCTTATATCCATCTTTCTTGACACCTATGCCATGTTGGTATTCCCAACCTAGTTCATAAAGTTTTGTTTCCGTTTGATTCATAGTTAAAACATCAAATCAAAAAAAATGAAAATGAAAATTCTATGTATTTACGTAATTTACGCTTTATTTAATTAGATGCATAATACCTTTCTTTATGGAATATTTGGAAAATCACAAGTGAACACAAACTATCTTAATCGGCACACATTTATAATTGTTTTTTTATAGCCAATTAAAATCTTGATGAGAAAGGTATTTTCGAAAACGAGCAATATTAGAAAGAAGAAAGTATAACTTTCAGAAGATTTGATTTGATGTTGTTAAAAAAGGCAGAAATTTCAAAACAAATTAGCGTTAGAAAAATGGCACATAATGTAGGTGAAACAAAAGATTTTAATCAAAATACTATGAACTGTAAATGTATATTTATGATTAAATTATCTATATTTTAATGATTATTTGAAATACTTTATAAACATATTCAAGTTTTACCAAATATTGCATAAAGTTGTAATTGTAAAAAAATTACTAAATATGAAAATATTTTACTAGCGCTCAGGCCCGGGCGATGCTCCGGGGCTAGGTCCTAAGTGTTTTAGATCTTAGATTTTGTAGTTATTAATTTTAATAATTAACATAATGATTAATTTATAGTTTCTAGCTCTCAGGCCCGGGAGATGCTTTAGGGCTAGGTCCTAAGTGTTTTAAATCTCAGATTTTAGTTATTTAATTAGTAGTATAATTTAAATTATAAATTTTCTAGCTCTCAGTCCCAGGTGATGCTCCGGGGCTAGTTTCTAAGTATTTTTGATCTCAGATTTAATATTTTTTTAAATTTCAGATTCTATAACTATTTAATTTATAAATAAAAAATTAAATTAAAAATAATGTAATTAATTTATAGTTTTCTAGTTTTCAGGTCTAGACAATGCTCTGGGGCTAGGTTCTAAGTTTTTTGATCTCAGACTTGATCATTTTTTAGTTTTTAGACCTAAATGATGCTTTGAAGCTAGATTCCAAGTGTTTTTAATCTCAGATTTGATAGTTTTTTAGTTTTCAGCTTAGGCAATATTTTAGAGCTAGGTTCTAATTATTTTAATTTTTAAATTTAGCAGTTTTTTAGATTTCAAATGTTTTATTATTTAATATTAATTTAATTTATTGCTTTTTTTTATTTTTAGACTTAAATAATGTTTTAAAGCTAGTTTTTAGATATTTTTTTTTTCAAATTTTGTAGTTTTTTTAGATTTTAGATTTTTTGTTCTCTAATATTAGTTTAATTTATAGTTTTAAGCTCTTAGATCTAGCAATATTTTAATGCTATATTCTAAGTATTTTAATTCTTAGATTATGCAGTTTTTTAAATTTTAAATTCTATAGTTATTTAAAAAAAGCAATATGTTAGCTTTAAATAAATTAAAATAAATTTAAATTAAGTTTAAATAAATCTAAATAAATTTAAATTAGATTTATTTAAATTTAAATAATTTAAATATTTAGATTTAATTAAATAAACTTAAATTACAATTATTTAAACTTAATTTATAATTAAATAAATCTAAATTATATTTATTTAAATTTAAATTAAAATTAAATAAATCTAAATTAAACTTTAATTAAACTTAAATTAAGATTAAATAATATAAATTAAATTTATTTAAATTTAAATTTAATATAAATATAATTAAATAAATCTAAATTATATTTATTTAAATTTAAATTAAAATTAAATAAATCTAAATTAAACTTCATTAGGTGTGGCAACTTAGTGAAGTGGTTAAGTTGTTATACTCCCAAGTAGTAGGTTGTGAGTTCAAAACCCACCAACAGCAAAATTTGGATAATTACCTATATAATATATAGATAGTATTATGGTGACAACATTCTGTCAATCAGTTGTGATAGGATACCTGTAACTATAATCACATCAGCATGACTGGCAAGTCTGGACATCTGTGTAACCTGTTACACAGAGGAATGCAAATTGGTACCAGGTGGTGCAAACCTAAAATAAGTTCTTGGGCTGTACAAATCTGTAAAACTAGGAAGCCAGAGCCTACTTAGAAATTCCGAGCAGAAAAGTAACACAGATCTTTGACAATACTACTGTAAAGGCTAGATCTAGGAAATGGATATCAATATGAAGGATTCAGATGGGCAAGAACCTTGGGTGAAAGGTACCACCAATCAGGTCACTGGATTTCAAACTGAAGAAAAAGAATATTAGGCTGGTCTCAATATACCAAGAACAGGTTACAGTCCTTCTGGGCTATCTGAATTAGAAGTCTGGGTTCAAAGCAAGGATATACTAAAAGTACTTGGGATATGCTGTGAAGTCAGTACTAGGGTCTGAGTGAACTCTGTAAGGGTAGCCTGTGTTAGTATTCTAAAAGTAGATATATAGTTAACAACAGGGGGCTCTCTGCACCTTACTGGCAGGTGATGTACTCTAAAATGTGTAATGGCCTGAAAACCAATACAAAAAGGGTAGGTACCATACTGCTCAGACAGTATACTGGTTAGATATATACAAAGGTTAGTTGGGAATTCCAATATAACAAAGCAGATGATTAAAGAGTCTAAATAGATAATCTCTTAGTAA